AAAAAAAAAAACTTTCATACTATAACAGCTCCCCAACTTATGATTGGGTTCTGTGGGATTAAACTATCATGAATTGAAAATAGTGTAAATGGAAGAAGCGTTTATCACCCCAACCCATCAAATGTCCCATTTTAGCAACAGTGTGAAGTCTGGGTGACTGGGCTGCTCTCAGCTGACTGGCAGCTGTACTGGAGGCCCTGGCCCAGGCTCCAAGAAGAGCTACCTACCTGGGGTCCCCACCCTGGAGCAACAGATCCACGCTGAAAATTCCAAAAATGGCTTCTACTGAGTTCCTATCACTTTCATACCATCATAAAGTTAAAAAATAAAATAAAATCGTAATTACCAGGGTAATTTGAACAACTATCGGGGAGACTTTTGTATTTCTCAAAAGAATTCCCTAGGACAGGTCCAGTGGTTCTGAGAGAGTTGCCCAGCCCTCGCCTCTTTTTAAAATTAAACACTATTCAGCACACAAAGTCGTGTCCTTTATCTTAAAAATAGGCCAGTGAGGAAGTGAGAGCTTACCAACAGAAAACTGACCACTTTTTCCCCTCACAGTGGCCTGACAGGACGGCCCAGTGAGATAGTGTCAGTTGAGACCAGCTGCTGTGACAGGTCCTTTTCTTTTAGTCTCTGAGGAAGAGAGTGTTGTCACATATTTCAGTCACCTGATAGAATTTTCAGATGCCAACTTGCTTTACTTTCTGGCCAGCCCTTAAGACTACCACATTAAATCCAAAAAGATCAAAACAAAAGCCTTAACATCAGGAGAGTAGGAACAAGCCTCTCCAAGGACCTATCAGAGCCCAGAGAATTGTACTAACATTGAGAACACTAATTACCTCTCAGAGGTTTCATACAGATGGTGGAAAAGCATAGTCTCGATACATTGGCTGGAACAGGCACCTAGCTTTAAACTTGGAATGGATTCCCTGACAGTGTTTTCACAACCATTACACAGTTCATCCAACAACAATGCACCTACAGATAGATCTCTGATTGGAACATCTGCTTACACTTCAGTAGTTCAGTTCCAGTTTGACCCATCAATATTTCAGAGTGCAAAATAACCCCTGGGATATCTGGGATCAGAAATCACTAAATTCCATAAAGCAAGGGA